CTGATACCAAAACCCGGCAGAGACCCAACAAGAAAAGAAAACTTCAGGCCAATATCCATGATGAACATAGATGCAAAAATCTTCAATAAAATATTGGCAAGCCGATTGCAACAGCAAATCAAAAAACTTATTCATCATGCTCAAGTAGGATTTATCCTGGGGATGCAAGGCTGGTTCAACATACACACGTCTATAAACGTAATTCACCACATAAACAGAACCAAAAACAAAAACTACATGATTATCTCAACTGATGCAGAGAAGGCATTCGACAAAATTCAACAGCCCTTTATGCTAAAAACCCTCAACAAACTCGGTATCGATGGAACATATCTCAACGTAATAAATGCTATTTATGACAAACCAACAGCCAATATCATACTGAATGGGCAAAAACTGGAAGCATTCCCTTTGAAATCCGGCACTAGACAAGGATGCCCTCCTTCACCACTCCTATTCAATATAGTACTGGAAGTTCTAGCCACAGCAATCCGGCAAGAAAAAGAAATAAAGGGAATTCAAATAGGAAAGGTGGAAGCCAAATTGTCTCTATTTGCAGACGACATGATAGTATATCTAGAAGACCCCATCACCTCAGCCCAAAAACTCCTGACACTGATAAGCAACTTCAGCAAAGTCTCACGATATAAAATCAATGTGCAAAAATCACAAGCATTCCTATACACACATAACAGACTTAAAGAGAGCCAAATCAAGAACAAACTGCCATTCACAATTGCTACAAAAAGAATAAAATACCTAGGAATACAACTCACAAGAAAAGTAAGGAACCTCTTCAAGGAAAACCACAAACCTTGGCTCAACGAAATAAGAGAAGACACAAACAGATGGAGAAACATTGCATGTTCATGGTTAGGAAGAATTAATATCGTGAAAATTACTGCCCAAAGTAATTTACAGAATCAACGCTATCCCCATCAAGCTACCATTGACTTTCTTCACAGAACTGAAAGAAACCACCATGAACTTCATATGGAACCAAAAGAGAGCCTGCATAGCCAAGTCAATTCTAAGCAAAAAGAACACAGCGGGGGGAATCACACTACCGGATTTCAAACTATACTACAAAGCTACAGTAATCAAAACAGCATGTTACTGGTACCAAAACAGAGATATAGACCAATGGAACAAAACAGAGGCATCGGAGGCAACACAACATATCTACAACCATACAGTCTTTGATAAACCTGACAAAAACAAGCAATGGGGAAAGGATTCCCTGTTTAATCAATGGTGTTGGGAAAACTGGCTAGCCAGTGCAGAAAGCAGAAACTGGACCCCTTCCTGACACCTTACACTAAAATTAACTCCAGATGGATTAAAGACTTAAACATAAGACCTGGCACGATAAAAACCCTAGAAGGAAATCTAGGCAAAACCATCCAGGACATAGAAGTAGGCAAGGACTTCATGAACAAAACACCAAAAGCATTGGCAACAAAAGCCAAAATAGACAAATGGGACCTAATCAAACTCCACAGCTTCTGCATGACAAAAGAAACAGTCACTAGAGTGAATCGGCAACCAACAGAATGGGAAAAAATTTTTGCAGTTTACCCATCTGACAAAGGGCTCATATCCAGAATTTACAAAGAACTCAAACAGATTTACAGGAAAAAAACAAACATGCCCATTCAAAAATGGGCAAAGGATATGAACAGACACTTTACGAAAGAAGACATATATGAGGCCAACAATCATATGAAAAAATGCTCATCATCACTGGTCATTAGAGAGATGCAAATCAAAACCACATCGAGATACCATCTCACGCCAGTTAGAATGGCGATCATTAAAAAATCTGGAGACAACAGATGCTGGAGAGGATGTGGAGAAATAGGAACCCTTTTACACTGTTGGTGGGAGTGTAAATTAGTTCAACCATTGTGGAAGACAGTGTGGTGATTCCTCAAGGCCTTAGAAATAGAAATTCCATTTGACCCAGCAATCCCATTACTGGGTATATATCCAAAGGACTATAAATCGTTCTACTATAAGGACACATGCACACGAATGTTCATTGCAGCACTGTTTACAATAGCAAAGACCTGGAACCAACCCAAATGCCCATTGATGATATACTGGATTGGGAAAATGTGGCACATATACACCATGGAATATTATGCAGCAATCAGAAATGATGAGTTCGTGTCGTTTGTAGGTACATGGATGAATCTGGAGAACATCATTCTCAGCAAACTGACACAAGAACAGAAAATGAAATACCGCATATTCTCACTCATAGGCGGGTGATGAAAAATGAGAACACATGGACACAGGGAGGGGAGTACTAAACACTGGGGTCTATTGGGGGGAAAAGGGGAGGGCCAGTGGAGGGGGGGGAGCTGGGGAGGGATAGCCTGGGGAGAAATGCCAAATGTGGGTGAAGGGGAGAAAGGAAGCAAAACACACTGCCATGTGTGTACCTATGCAACTGTCTTGCATGTTGTGCACATGTACCCCAAAACCTAAAATGCAATAAAAAATTTAAAAAAAAAAGAATATATATATATACATTTCCTAATCATTGTCTTTACTGCATGAATTCGTTCACTTTCATGCCTAAAATATACTCTCAGCTGGACACAGTGGCTCATGCCTGCAATTCCAACACTTTGGGAAGCTAAGGCAGTAGGATCACTTGAGGCCAGGAGTTTGAGACCAACCTGGGCAACATAGCTAGACTCCCATCTATACAAAACAAAAATTTAATTAGCCAAGCATGTTGGTGTGCACTTGTAGTCCTATCTACTTAGGAGGGAATGCTGAAGTGGGAGGATCACTTGAGCCCAGGAGTTAGAAGTAGCAGTGAGCTATGATCAAGTCACTATACTCCAGCCTGGGTATAGAGTGAGACCATGTCTCTTTTAAAAAAACCAAAAAAGTAAATTTTAACTGTATGTAGATTTCAACAGAGGTGACAAAAAAAAAGTCATATTAGAACAGCCTAAAGAAAATCAGAGGTACACGACCAAAGGTCAAGGGAGATGTAAGGGTACTATACCCAAGAAGAGTAGTCGAAGCTCCAAAAATCTGTGAGTTGTTCCAGAGTCAATATGTAAAGAGAGAATGGGACCAACAATTACTCCTAGGACAGCATTTGTTATTGAGTGGTAGCAAAGGTAAATATGGTGAGGCAGGATGAGGGCCATGACACAGTCTGCAGGACAGTAAGAAATAAAAAGCAGCAGTAGAGTAAGATAGTATTAAATATGACAGTATGTTCAAAGGAAAAGAGAACTAAGTAGAGATATGAACAAAAAGAAGATTCTGCCCTCAGACTCTACAATAGAAAAAAAAAAAAGAAAAAGAAGGAAAAACATGGACCACAGAGAGATAATTTCTAATAGCATGATGGAGATGGGGCCCAAATGAAGTTTTAAATGTCAGTAAGTATTTTAATTAGTGTCTGTTGTGTGCCAGACATTGGGTTTAAGAAAGGAAATAGGCTGGAACTACCAATGTTTATACAGTAATGTTTGGAGAAGGGAGGATATAGAAGGGAAGAGAAAAAAATCTATACAATTATTACCTAAATAGATTCTTACCAGAAGATAAGAAGATTCATCTTGTGTAATTTGGGTCTGCAAGCAACATAAAAAATAAGGAAAATTTAAGTTGTCCTCTAGCACTGGTTTTTCCCATTAATAAATACATCTTAAGGAATAAATATAATACATTTTTAGACATAATTATTAGCTTTATAAAGAAGTTCTGTAATCTAGTTTAACACTGTAATGCAAAATAATGAACTATATAAGGATACCTCTGTTTAAAAGAGGCTGTTTATGGAAAACACAGTATATTATTTTAAGTTATGAAATAATCCTTACAAGATTACATTTAAGAGAAGGTATCTTGCTGAGGCAAAAAAGAACCCAACAGATTCAAAATTATGCACTGATCTGAATAAGCACTCAGAAATATGCCCAGGTTTTTTGCACATTGCTCGCCTATTCAAACATCCTTTTAATTTAAGCTGCCTCTGACTACTTTTCTTTTTCCTATCAGCCCCAACCTCATTCTCCTTAAATGGATAAGAAAAGTGAAACAGATTATCACTAATTTGCCATTATTGCAAACAATTCATGCTACCACTGATGCAACATCATATGAACCATAAGTTTCCACTGCTTGTAAAATGTCATTCTGTTTTCCTGATTATCTTATGAAAATATTCTTCATGAAATTAAATACTGCAGGTTTACTGACTATGAAATAGAAGTTGCCATAGAATGACTATATTAAGAACTCACAGAAACATCCATGATAGCATGCATATCAGGACATGCCTGTTAAGGAAAGATAAGTTTTGACATTTCAATTCACATGGCATTACTAGTTACATAAATTGTATCCATCTTAACTTTTTGAAAATCCAGAACTACAAATTATTTTAATAAACATACTAGATTACATCTAATTTCCCTCTAACCACAGTATCAACTCAATATTGATGCAGCTTTAGAACATGGGTTTAATTCATGAGCTATTTTCCAGGAATGAAATAATGACATCAAGGCCATAAATCAAGGGCAGATTTTGTTAAATGCATTAAGTGGGACTGCAGCTTCCATGGAAAGGAAATGACTACATGAAGTGACACAATGTGTAATTTCCTATTGTAGTTAAAATGTTTTTCTTCATCATTACTGATGAGCTTTGTAATTTGTATTTTTTAATTGGCATTAAGATTCACATTTAACAGAAAAGTATCTTCCCTTTTGTCAGTAAATTCCAGTCAACATGCACTTTCTACACTCCTCCACTCACTCCTATACCTGTGCTCTCCTCTGCACTCACTGCTTGTAGATGCTCTGTACTTCTAATATGATGAATAGTGACAATATGGTAGCCTCATTTCTATAGTATATATTACATGTGACCATTAAGAAAACTGCTGATGTCATGCAATCCCAGGATAACTGAACTGTCACAGAGGCTACGTTCTTTAATACAATAAAACTGTGTTAACTTACTTTCACTGGATAATCTTTGGCATTTCAGCCTGTGTCTGTATTTTTCATTTTCTTCAAGCATTCTTGAAATGACTTTGTGTACTCTATTCCATACTGAAACCTTAAAAAGACAAGCACAGTAAAGGAATGCTAAGCAGAAAAGTAGGAATATATTTTCATAGAGACAACCGGGAATGATTCAACTGTGTTGTATGTCAATTGATATCATTATTATAATACTTGCATTTAGAGAACTAAAACTTAAGTGTAATTGTTTACCCACAATCTGAATTATCTGTTCTCTTTTTTGAAATTCCTAGAATTTCCTTCCTGTAGTATTTAAATTAACTGTCCTGGATGAAGTTTCCTTTCAAAGGCAATGTCTATAACCTCCTGCCTAATTGAATCTAACACATTCCATTCTGAAAGATAATTTTTAAAAATTGTGAATTTATATTCCACTGATTAAACCATTGGGAAATGACTTGATTTTTAAATGTGCTTTATTCCAGTTAAGAATTAAGTATTTCTCCTAGCAATAGTATTAGAGAACATAAATATACTGGAATAGAAAGAACGAGGATTATGGAATCAAACGAATAGATCTAGGCTCAAATTCTGGCTTTGCCATTTTCCAGTTGCCTGACATTTTGAGAGTATTCTAATCACATCTAGGAATAACTTCATACATTGGATTATAAGAATTGATGAAAAAATATTTAATACATATAATAAAGCACATACCCCAGTATCTGGCACATAGTAATTAAAAGTAAGTATTGGTCATTGCTCTTTTCTCCCCACCCAAAAGGAACTGGTTCTCAGAAGAAACATCTCTTAGTACAGTGGGAAAATGAGATGCTCACTCAAAATATATTTGGTACAAGAGTTATTCACTTCTAATGCTATTTTATACCATACAGACATCAAACAAACTCAAAGCTCAGAAGCAACACAATGTTTTGTGTCAGTAACAACCAATAATTTCTTTAAACTGAATATAAACTATGCTGTGAAGTACAAACATACAGTGGCAATCAAAGATTTGCAGAGCATATGATCTTGAATATGTTCAAGACACTCAAGTTGCCATGACATTTGGACAACTAGCAGTGAGAACAGTTCAGCAGCATGGTTCATCCTTCTCAGATCGCCTGCTAGAAATATATTACCTATTCCTTGTCTTTAAAAAGACCAATATAAATACATTATTCTTTTCTATGAAATCTGTGATTTTCTTCTTATACTACATTATATATCACAGTTTATTATATTCTATGAAACATATATCATGCTTTGAAAAATCATCCAGTATGGTTACATTTTGATTAAAATGTGTTTTATACCTTCAAACACTGAAAGAACAATTCTTTATGGTTAATAAATATCTCCAAGCCCAGTTCCATTTCTGCTGAATTAATTCTATTTTCTCATTTCAGAAAATTAAATTATTCAAAAGATGAAACTATTTTCACTGTCTTGAATATCTTTACCCATTTGTATTTAGAGAGAATGATCTAAAATTCAAATATTGCTCATTCTCCTTTATGGTACTATACCTTTTTCTTTTTCTTCATTATTTTGGACGCTTCATTCAGTGGTATGGGAAAATCAAACTTTTTAGCTGCATCCTTCTGGATTAAACCTAATTTTTAGAAGAAAGTAAAAAAGTCAACATATATAAGAACTTGCTATCTGAAAATGAGACCATATAAATGTTTTTTGAGGTCTCTTTGGGGATTTTTACACTTGTTGTTATATTTCTGATCACCAGGTAATACTGGTTTACCAATTCACTCGTAACATGTGGAAAACAACCGCAAAAAAACTAGACATAATCTGTTAAGTACCTAGAAAATCATCCAGCTAGTTCAGTCTTCCGTTTCTGATTTGTCAGGCTAGTCCCAAAAAGACTAACAACAGAATGAACAAATACCAGATAACACATCTTGCTCCAGTCTATCTCCACAGGCTTCATTCTTCTCAATGCAACTCCAGACAGACATTTACACTTCCAACTACACAAATCTCATGGTTCCTCAAATGTGTCTAATTCCTAGCCCTTTCAGCACAGGCACACATGTGCACACGCACACACACATACACACAAACACACACACACTGACACACCTCCCAGGCAAATTTCTTCCACTCATTTTGCATATTGTGCTGAGACTAGCTCCAGTATATTTCATGAATTTCATTCCTGATCTATGTTTCAGATCTTTCTCCCAGTCCTCTTTCCGCCCACTCTGACCCAGTCGTTCTTCCTAATCGCTGCATCACTGATTCATACTCAGTGCTTTGCTCACATGTTTCCTCCACCTAATTTTCCTGTGTCAGCCCCATGTATAAATCTCATGGAGCTTCCACCACGATAAAGCCTTCCCTGTTCTCTCATTCCCCAAATTACTCACCACTTCCAAAGCATTCATTTGTACTTCCACAATAGCATTCACCATCTTCCATTATATATAAATTATAAATGTTTCTTTCAAGTTATGTAAGGACAGGGAGCTGGCCTGATTTATTAGTCTTATTTGAAATGTTAGAAAAGTTGCTGATTTGCCTACTCCTGAATTTCTAAACTTCAGTACATTTTCCAAACAGCTTACAAGTTTATCTTCCAGAAGTGCACCTGTCTCCAAAAACTTTTTCCACTATTTGAAACTCTTCAGTAACTATAAAAAATGAGTCTCCGAGGTATTCCATAATCTGGTCCAAAACTTATTTTTCATTCAATAAATAGTACATGTCCACTATTTGCTAGACATGCTAATCACCATCTTCCCTTCAAGCCATCTCTGCTCAATATGCCAACATTTACTGGTTACTCATTCTGTGTCAAACATCATGCTAGGCACTCCACACATAATACTTCATTTAATCTTCGCAGCAACCCTTTAAGGTTGGAACCATCACCCCCATGTCACAAATAAGAACACTGAGAATAATAGTGATTAAGTAACTTGGGCAATATTATCCTGCTGATAAATGACAAAACTAAGGATTATGCCTTTCTGACTTCAAAGCCAATGCTCTTGATAACCCCACTGTCCCACTAGTGATTTCTCTATACATGTCCTCCAATTTCCTGCATCTATGCCTCTTCTTTCCTTGAACTTGACTATCAAAGCCATTCTCAGCTCACTCTTACAACACTCATGTCTACTAGTTTATATTCCCATTATTTATAAATAAGTCCCTTGAGAGCAAAATAGTTCTCTGATTCATCTGTGTCATGAGCACCTGATCTAGTGAACACAACATGATAGGTATTAAATATTACTGAATGAATAACTCATCTTTTTACCCATGGAGGGTGACCCATTTAATGAATGTCTACTTAACATTTAGGGCTGGGTATGGTGGTTCATGCCTGTAATCCCAGCACTTTGGGAAGCCAAGGTGGGTGGATCACCCAAAGTCAGGAGTTCAAGACCAGGCTGCCCAACATGGTGAAATCCTGTCTCTACAGAAAATACAAAATTAGCTGAGCATGGTGGCACATGCCTGTGGTCCCAGCTACTTCGGAGGCTGAGGCAGGAGAATCACTTGAACCTGGGAGGCAGAGGTTGCAGTCAGCCAAGATCACACCACTGCACTCCAGCCTGTGAGACAGTGCAAGATGCTGTCACAAAACAAAAACCAAAACAAAAATAGACATTAAGTACATCCAACACTGAGTAAACCCTAAGCACATAAGCACTTCTGGCTTGGTTTAAATATAAGTCTACCCCAGGACCCCCTTCCTTTGACTATATTCTTGGCTTCACAAGCACAGCAGGGTGGTCACTGACATTAGTGGCCATTATCCATCCAGTTGCCCAGCACAGAGACTTCAGACTTGGCCACAATTCTCTCTTTCAGTAAGCTATGCGATCTTGTCCATTCTGCCTTCACTGCCGGCGCCTTAGTTCAGGCCTTCAGTCTTTCCACTGGAATACTGTAACTGCCTCATTAACTGTTTTCTGGCCTCCAATCTCTCCCACTCCCAATTCCTTTGTGGCAGGGGTAACATGATCAGATCCAGAGGAAGGAGAACTAGGAGGTGGGAGTGGCTGGACCCAGAAGAAGCTCCAAAGCACTTCCCAAAACCAAACGTGCACCAAAAAAGACCACAGTCAGTGTTTGGTGGTCTGCTGCCAGTCTGATCCACTATAGCTTTCTGATTCCCAGAGAAACCCCTACATCTGAGAAGTATGCTCAGCAAATCAATGAGATGAACTGAAAACTGCAACGCCTGCAGCTGGCATTGGTCAACGGAAAGGGCCCAATTCTCCACAACGACATGTTGCACAACCAACGCTTCAAAACAACTGGATGAAGTTTTGCTTCATCCACCATATTCACCTGACCTCTCACCAACCAACTACCATTTCTTCAAGCATCTCAACAACTTTTTGCAGGGAGAATACTTCCACAACAAGCAGGATGCAGAAAATGCTTTCCAGGTATTCGTCAAATCCCAAAGCAGGAATTTTAATGCTACAGGAATAAAGAAACTTATTTCTTGTTGGCAAAAATGTGTTGATTTTAATGGTTCCTATTTTGATCAATAAAGATGTGCCTGAGTCTAGTTATAATGACTTAAAACTCAAGGTTCAAAACCTCAATTACTTTTGCACCAACCTAATAAATTATCAGAGTATATTTAGTTCTGAAAGAATAGCAAACAAAATATATATTTTTCAACTTGAGATTTTTTTCCTGTCTAACCTGCCTCTAAGTCAATCTCCCCTGTACAGCACTGACTAATTACTGACCCCATCACTTTTTTAATTCAAAATCTTTTAATGCAGAGCTTCTGGGTAGCTGAAGACAATAGCAAGCAGGTAGTAATAATTTTCCCCAAAAAAGACCCACACCCTCAGCATTACTTTAAGGCAAAGGATTCTGAAGCTGCAAAATAACTATAAGTAAAATGAGAAGAAAAAAAAACATTAAATTGCAGCTCTATGATGCCATATGCCCCAGACCTACAGGGGCTCTTGCCAGCAGGGAAGAGAAAATAAAAACACTAGAAAAAATGCCTCAAGAGTTGGAGTGACCAACATTAAGATTAAATTCATTCTAAATCAGGAAATACTAAAAAAATAACTAGGCAGATCAGAGTACAGACTACAGGGAAGAAATTTAAAGAGACAGACAACACAAAATGCCAAGCATGCAATATAATAGAGACTCAGTTTAAAGTGGCAAGCATGATTTAAAGATCGAGACCATCCTGGTCAACATGGTGAAACCCTGTCTCTACTAAAAATACAAAAAATTAGCTGGGCATGGTGGCATGTGCCTGTAATCCCAGCTACTCAGGAGGCTGAGGCAGGAGAATTGCCTGAACCCAGGAGGCGGAGGTTGCGGTGAGCCGAGATCGCGCCATTGCACAATCGCACCATTGCCTGGGTAACAAGAGTGAAACTCGGTCTCAAAAAATAAAATAAAATAATAATAATAATAATAATAATAAAGGAGCAGTCTGCCAATGGCATGGTTTCTGAGGTGAAAAGAACAAAAAGGATGATACATTAGGTCACAAGAAAACACTAGCAACATCCATAAAATGAAGACATCACAAACAATGCTCTCTACTCACAATGCAATAAACCTGAGTTTACTAGCAAAAAAATAAAAATAAAAAACAGAGAAGCTCTGAAAACTTAAAAATTTAAACTCTATTAAGCAACTCTATGGAAAAGAGTTAAAAATTACATTTCTTTTAAAAGTAATGACAATGAAAACACTACATATTGGAATCTATGGGATGTAATTAAGTAGTGGTTAGAAGAAAATGCATTGCACTAAACACTTAATAACAAGAATAAAAATAAATAAATTAAATTTCCTGCTCACTAAAAAAGTATAAAAAGAACAAAGTTAAATCAAAAAAAAGCATAAGAAATAATAATATTAAAAGCAGAAATTAAGGAGGAAGAGACTAGAGAAACAAAATATCTAATTCATAAATCAAAACCTTGATTTTTCTTTTTTAAAGACAGGGTCTCATTCTGTCTCTCCAGGCTGAAGGGCCAACAGCCTTGAACTGCTCACCTTAAGCAATCCTCCCACCTCAGCCTCCCAAAGTGGTAAACTTATAGGTGTGAGTCTCTGTATCTGGCAAAAATCTTAGTTTTTTTTTTTTAATTAATGAAATAGAAAAAAATGTTGGCTAACTTGATCAAGAAAGAGAATGCACATATATACAGCAAAAGAAATGACAAGAGGGAAATAACCATTAAAACGCAAAAAAATGTTTAAACATCATAAGACACTACTTCGCAGATATCTATGTAAACAAATTTGAAAACCCAGATGAAATGGGTAATTGCTTCAGGAAATATAGATTACCAAAATTGACCTATTAGAGTTAGGAAGCTTACACAGGTCAATCTCTATAGAAAATATAGAGAAGGTTATTAAGGAATTATTACCCCACCAAAAACACTAAGTCCTAACAGTGTTACAGAAAAATTCTACCTAAGCTTCAAAGACAAGATAATCCCAACATTCTATAAATTATTCCAGAGCATAGAAAAGAAAAAATTCTCAATTCCTTTTATGAAGTAAATGCAACTCTTGATACCTAAACTAGATAAAAAAGTACAAGGAAAAACTAAAGATCATTATCTCTCCTGAATACTGATGCAAAAATTATAAACAAATTATTAACAGAGTCCAGTACTGTATTAGGAAAACAACACACCAAAACCAAGTAGAATTTACTTCAGGAATGCAAGGTTGCTACAAACTTGGAAAACCATTTATATCACATTCCATATTAATAAATAAATCTAAAGAAAAAGAGTATCTCCATAGATCTAAGAAACCCTCTCACAAAAATCAACACTCATTCATGACAAAAAACGAACACTGGAAAAACAAGCATTGAGGGATGCTTTGTGATATTTGAAATACGTAATCCTTATTCATATACCCAGTACCTTATTTAACGGAAAACACTAAAGGCATTTCCCGTATGGTCAGGAACAAGCCTAAGGTGCCTGCTATCTCTAACACTATTTAACATTGCTTTGAGGTATTAGCAAATGCAATTAGATAAAATAAATCTATTGCAGGCCAAGAATGGGTGAAATAGAAACAAAATTGTATCTCTTTACAAATAATATATATTGATACCGGAAAAATAATGTGAATCAAGGATAAAACTAATAATAAAAACATCCAGTGAGTTAACAGATCTAAAATTAGCATGCAAAAACCAATAGGCTAAGTGAAAGAAGCCAGTCACAAAGGCCCACATACTCTATGATTCAACATATATGAAATGCCCAAAATGGTAAAATCGATGGAAATAGAAAACAGATTAGTACTTGGTTAGGGCTGGGCTTATGCATAAAGGAGGGCAAATAGGGAGAATAATGAGTGATGTTTAATGGATATAGGGCTTTCTCTTGGGGTTAAAAATACTCTAAAATAGTGGTGATGGTTGCACAATCGTGAATATGTGAACTATGTATGTAAAATGGGTGAACTATAAGCACTGTGAGCTATAGTTTAATAAAGCTGTTATTTTATAAGTACAGATGATGGAAATGTTCTATATCTCAATTATGATGGCACTTACCAGAGTGTGTACAAGTCTGTCAAACCTCTTCAAAACATATGTAAATTAATCCTCAATAAAATTGATTTAAAAAAAAAAACAGGAGAGAGCCAGGCGTGGTGGCTTACTCCTGTAATCTCAGCACTTTGGGAGGCTGAGGAGAGTGGATCACCTAAGGTCAAGAGTTCCAGACCAGCCTGACCGACATGGTGAAAGACCATCTCTACTAAAAATAGAAAAAAAAATAGCTGGAGGTGGGGGCAGGGTCCTGTAATCTCAGCTACTTGGGAGACTGAGGCAGGAGAATCGCTTGAACCAGAGGGAGTGCGAGCAGAGGTTGCAGTGAGTTGAGATTGCAACACTGCACTCCAGCCTGGGCAAAAGAGCGAGACCCCGCAACAAAAAAAAAAAAAAAAAAGAGGCCGGGCACGGTGGCTCACAGTCCCAGTACTTTGGGAAGCCAAGGCAGAAGGATCACCTAAGGTTGGGAGTTTGAAACCAGCCTGACCAACATGGAGAAACCCCGTCTCTACTAAAAATACAAAATTAGCCGGGCTTGGTAGCACATGCTTGTAATCCCAACTACTCGGGAGGCTGAGGCAGGAGAATCACTTGAACCCAGGAGGCAGAGGTTGCAGTGAGCCGAGATCATGCCATTGCACTCCAGCCTGGGCAACAAGAGTGAAACTCCATCTCAAAAAAAAAGAAAAGAAAAACGAAGAGAGGCTGGCACAGTGGCTCATACATGGAATTCCAGGACTCTGGGAGGCCGAGACAGAAGGATTGCTTGAGTCCAGGAGTTTGAGACCAGCCTGGGTAACATAGGAAGACCTCATGTCTACAAAAGATAAAAAAGTAGCTGGGCATGGGGGTGCCCACCTGTGGTCCCAGCTACTGGGGAGGCTGAGGTCGAGGCTGCAGTGAGCCTGTGATTGGACCACCACACACCAGCTTGGGTGACACAGCAAGAACCCGCCTCAAAAAATAAAAATAAATAAATTGGCTTTCTGTACACAATAAGCATTTAGAGGGCATTACATACAAAGAAATCCCATTACAACAGGAAAGATTAAATATTTAGACATAAACTGATCAAGACATATGCAAAACCTAAGGGAGGATAATTTTTAAATTTAAGACATTTCCTGGTTTAAATGTCAAGCTTATCCCGTTTTTTAGCCAGGATGCCTCAAAAGCATCCAGAAGTCAGTCCTCTAGGTCAGAGGCTTTGCGAAGTCAACCAATGTCACTCAGCTGGAACGGCAACACTGCAGACCAAGAGCCTCCTAAAGGGTGCCGTAAAGGCTCCGTTCAGCAACCCCTCCTCTTATGTCCGGTGCCCGTCCCGGCCACGGCAGACCCCTGGGAATTACAGGGCTTCTCCTTCGCCCGGTGCGTGCTGGCAACATCGCCTGACAGGAAAGCCGCCCCCACCCTCCCGCGCGCCACAAGATGGCGCCCAGTAGTGGCGCCCGCCCGCCCAGCCAAGACACCTGCACTCGCCACAGGCCTGGTGCTGCTCCGCCCGCTGGATGTCCGCAGCTGGGAGGAGGAGGAAGAGGCAGAGGCCGCAACCGCCACACCAGGGGCCGCGGGGACCCTGGGCCTGGAACCTGGGGTCGGCTTGCCGCCACCTGGGACGCCAGGCACCGCCGTTGCTTCTATTGGCTTCTCCTGGCAACAACCGGTCCTGGACTCCCGACCCCAAAGGCCTTTGGTTTGGCGGCCACCCAGCTTCAGGACACCACCGCACTGGTGTGAGCCGAAGCGCGTCACGTAGACGAAGCGCGCCCAGTCCTGCTCCCGACCCTGGCTTGCCGCTGCCGCCATCGCAGTCTCAGTGAAGGGCTGCCTGCCGGGCCTTCAGCAAACACGATGCTCCAAGCACTGAACCGCCCACTGTGTAGGTGAGACGTGGGGATGGGGGGAGGCGGTTAGGGCCAGACCACCCCGCAGGGATGGGGGGCATGGGTTTAGGGCCGGACCATCCCGAAGGGATGGGGAGGTAGAGTTAGGGCTGGACCACCCCGCAGGGATGGGCAGGTAGGGTTAGGGCTGAACCACCCCGCAGAGATAGGGCAAGAGGGTTAGGGCCGGACCACCACGCAGGGTGGGACAGGGAGGTTAGGGCTGGGCCATTGTATGAGGGCTGGAGGAAGAAAGCTGGGCGTGAGGGCAAGGGAGCTGGTCACTCTGTGGGCTGCAGAAGTGAGGGAAGGACACACTACTGGGAGATGAGAGACCCAGAGGAGATGGAGGGAAGTAAGAGGAAGGCAGGTGGTGGGTTGGGGACGATGACGTGGTGCAAACCCTTCAGAGGAAACGAGCTACTCCAAGAAGAGGGTGGGAGAAAGGGACGAGGTCACTACCAGGGAGACGCCCCCATGCTTGGGTGTAGGAGGATTGGATGCAGGAGGATTTCAGAGTGAGGAACCCACACAGGACTTGAGCAGCCTGGAGCATCAGCCACGTGGCATTAGGAGCCTGGGGAAGAACACAGAGCCCTTGGCTGCTGGAAGGTTCCAGTATGGCCTTGGCCTGGCAGATGGTGGGGATGGAGCCATTATCCACAAAGAGACACAGGGGTCTGAGGCCCAACCTGGTTTGGCACTGGCGAGCTGGGTTATTTGGGCAAGCCCTTTTCTTTTTTTTTTTTTTTTTTTTTGAGATGGAGTCTTGCTCTGTCTCCCAGGCTGGAGTGCAATGGTGCAATCTCGGCTCAGTGCAACCCCCACAACCCGGGTTCAAGCTATTATCCTGCCTCAGCCTCCCAAGTAGCTGGGATTACAAGGATGCACCACTATGCCCCGCCTTTTTTTTTTTTTTTTTTTTTAGTAGAGAAAGGGTTACACCATGTTGGCCAGGCTTGTCTCAAACTCCTAACCTCAGGTGATCTGCCCCCCTTGGCCTCCCAAAGTGCTGGGATTACAGGCATGAGCCACTGTGCCCAGCCACTTTCCTTCTCTGAGCCTCCAGTGTCTTCAAGTGTAAACTTAGGAGAACTGTATTGTGACGATAAATCAAAGTAAGGCATATATTCAGCATCTGGCACACGATGAGAGTTGTCCATTCAGGACATAACCTATGAGATACACATTGTAATTTATTTACATCATTTAAACTTTACAAATAGCTTTCCCTCTAACCCTTTTTTTTTTTCCTTTGTCAGAGTCTTGCTCTGTCACCAGGGCTGGAGTGTAGTGATGCAATCTCGGCTCACTGCAACCTCTGCCTCCCAGATTTAAGCAATTCACCTGTCTCAGCCTCCCAAGTAGCTGAGACTACAAGCGCACACCATCACGCCCAGCTAATTTTTGTATTTTTAGTTGAGATGAGATTGTGCCATGCTTGTCAGGCTGGTCTTAAACTCCTGGGCTCAACGAATCTGCCAGCCATGGCCTCCCAAAGTGCTGAGATTAGAGGCGTGAGCCACCACACCCAACCTTACCATCTCTTTAAATTCACATAGCATTTTATGGCAGAAGAACTGGGGCTCCAAAATGTTAAATTACTTTCCCAAAGTAATAGGCAATGAGAGACATACTTTCTTAAACCTTTGTTATTGAATTATATGCAGAAAGCTGCACAAATCATCAGTGTAAAGACAGTCAAATTTTTACACAGCAAGATCCACCAAGGTTAAGAAATGTTGCACTACAAAAGCACCTCATGTCCTCACCCAGTCACCATCCTTTTCTTTTCTTTTCTTTTTATTTCAGACATCATCAATGGCTGGGTGCCTGTAATACCAGCACTTTGGGAGGCCAAGGAGGGAGGATCACTTTAGCTATGAAGGTCAAGTCTGCAGTGAGCCCTGATCACAGCACTGCACTCTCCCTGGACAACAGAGCAACACCCTTAAAAAAAAAAAAAAAAAAAAGTCATCAGTTAGGTTTGTCCATTTAATTTACTTGTTTCCCTCAAGTTGCATCAGTGAGGTACATGTTATTGTGAAGCCAAGAGCTAACCTGAGTAAGCCCACCAGACTTAACCCGTCCGGCTTGCTTTTCATTGCTTACTTCTGGTTGTTCTTAAAACTAATGCTATCTATGACCTGAGTACATGGGTGAGAAGGAAAAAAAAATCCCACTAGCAAGTCATGTAGCCAAACAATACATAACTAAACTCCCACAGGCTTCCTTATAGATAACGTCTCTGGATGTTGCTCACTATAGTAACAGGTGCTTACAGATGGTTTTTCAGAAACTAGAGGACAGTTCTTAGTCAGTTCCAGTTGGTTGAGACCACCAACCCTTCAACTGGGCCTGCATGGATGCCTCCAGAATGACCTTTTGAAGTCAGAGAGCCAAAAACCTCACCAAAGATCATGCCAATGCCGCCTTTTTCTGCACACGTATGAAGAGTAATGTAGCTTCATTACACTTGTGTAGAAACCTGAATTACCTCACCTTTCCTCCCTACCAATTATCTTTCCCACATTTTAAACCACCCTGCTTTCTGTTCCTAAAATACTCTCAAGCCCTGTTTTTGGAGAGGTGAATTTCAAGTTTGTTCTCCCATCTTCTCACACAGCAGCCTTGTGAATAAAATCTTTTCTCTCTTGCAAAACCCATCACCTCAGTGATTGGCTTGCTGCCTGAGGGCAGAATGAACTTGGTTAGTTTACAACTTTAGAAGTTTGCATATCATTTGAATATGTCACCTTTTTTTTTATCTTTGCCACTTATTGATGGGGACATTTGGTTGTTTCCAATTTGGTTCATTATTAGTGTTGCTAAGCAGATTCTCATACAAACTCTGTGGAAATAGGTTATGGGTTATATATGTTAGTGTGGAGGTGCTTAGGGTGTTCATATGTTCAGCTTTAGTTGCTGCTGACAAACAAGTATCCAAAATGGTTGTACCAATTTACACTCCTCCAGCCAAGTATGAGGGTTCCCCTTGCTCCACTTGTTCACCTCTACTTGGCATTGTCTTCATTTTAGCTATTCTCATGGATATGTGTGTTAGAGTTTTCCAGAGAAGCAGAAACAAAAGACTGTGTGTGAGAGACAGAGAGAAACTACATGGTACACCAGCAAGCTAAGAGATTTAGGGAAGAGTTATTGATGCTGCAGTTCCAGTCTAAAGATCCTCTGCTGGCTGAATTCCCCGCTCTTCAAGTGAGCCCCATCTTTTTCTTCCAAGCTGATATGGTTTAGCTGTGTTCCCACCCAATCTCAACTTGAATTGTAGTTCCCATAATCCCCATGTGTTGTGGGAGGGATCCAGTGGGAAGTGATTGAATTATGGGGGCTGTTATCCCTGTGCTGCTGTTCTCATGATAGTGAGTGAGTTATCACAAGATCTGATGATTCTGTCAGGAGCTTTTTCCCCTTTTGCTCAGCCCTTCTCCTTGCTGCTGCCATGTGAAGAGGGACATGTTTGCTTCTGCTTCCACCATGATTGTAAGTTTCCCGAGGCTTCTCCAGTCATGCCAAACTGGCAGTCAATTAAGCCTCTTTTCTTTATAAATTACCCAGTCCTGGGTATGTCTTTATGAGCAATGTGAGAATGGACTAATACACAGGCCTTCAAATGATTGGATGAGGCTCACACATATTATGGACTTCTTTACTCCAAGTCTACCAGCTTAAATGTTAATCTCACTAAGAAAAAAGAAATACCTCACAGAAACACCCATCACTATCTCATTAGGGTTGGTAACTGGCACTTTGCTTTGTCTGTTTTAGGAGGTCATGGTTCCCTGTTTGCCGTTGTTTCTTTTGGATGTGCATCCATGTCTTTGCATGAAAGATTATATTTTCCAGTTTTCACATCCAGCTTGTTTTTGTCTTTCTAGGGTATGTTTACTTAGACATTCTTTGCAGTCCACCTGTCGAATCCCTTTTCCACTAGTACACTGCCTCCTTTTCCACACTAGATGGCCCCTTTAGCCCAGGTTCACCTCACTTTTCCAAACAGTAGTGCTGCCAAAACTGGATGGAGGGTGGTGGGGTCCCAAATGAAACACCCCAGCCATGTGGGAAGGCTGGTAGCCCAGGGACCCGTGGAGCATGCCTCCCACAGCAAGATGCTGCTGAAAAGCCACTGAGCTGCCACCCTCCCTTCTTGGTCTCAAGCTGCCCTCAGGGGTTTTTCTCCTTTCAAGCACTCATGAAACTTCTGTGGGTTGATGCAGGAACCCAGGATAATGTGAAAGCTGGCATCCACCTCACTGTCAACAGTGGAGCAAAAGTTCATGATGTGAGTCTCCACATGCTGTTCTGTTCATCTGAGTGGGAGCTACAAGTTAGTCCGGCCTTCTATATGCCATTTTCCCCCTAGTAGGTCTTTTTCTACGTGTCCCATTAATAATATTGACAATAACTCTGATCAGCATATTCTACAAAATTTTCTGAAGAAATTCCGAATGAGAAAATAGCAAAATGATTCTAAGGGCAATTTTCTGTGTAGTGACTGGTAGCTTGGGGCATGGCCATCAAGGATAAAGAAGTCCATTTCTCTTACCTTCCAGTTGGAGGTTTTATTACTTCTCTGTGGCCTTCAGGATGATTTCTGCTTCCTATTTGAGTTCTAGGATGTTGCTGGTGATAATCTTTACACTGATACCAGTTTTAGTTTTCTGTGGGAGAGAGGAAAGCCAGATTGCTTCTATTCTGCCATCTGGTGACTTGACTCTCAACTTTTCTTCCTCCTTATGCTTTATGTAACCACATATAGAGTTTTTGGTAATTTTGTAGTATATTCAAAGCATCATGACACATCAATATTACTGTTATTTTATACAGTCAGACTTCATTTAGGTTTGCTGATATATTTACTCTTCCCATTGCGTTTCATTTGTTCTTTGTTTATTTCATTCATTT